TATATATATATATGCAGAGAAACACAAATTACTTCACAGTATTTAATCAAAATATATCCTGCATTGTACCTGTGTCTGCCACAGCAGGAGGGCCAGAGTTTGTGTTGGGAGGGACGGTGGTTGTGGTGATGGCAGTGCTGCTGGTGGTGGTTGTGCTGGGACTCTGGCAGGTGGAGGCGGGAGATGGTGTACTGTTAGCTGTGGGTTTGGTGGGTGCAGCAGCAGAGGTAGTTGAAGCGGGAGTGGACAGGTTTTGAAGCATGTCGTCTGGCGGAGGCACAGGCAGAACCACTGGAGAAGAACTAGAGGGGTCTTTATTCACCAAGAGCACCTCGATGGGACCTGCAGAGCTCTTCAAGTGAATCTGGTACTTCTTTTGTCCATTGACATGCTAATAAAATAAAAAGGTGACGTGCTTGTTGTTGAAACAACATGTGAAATGCAAATGAAATGTCATATATATATATATATATATATATATATACACAAGTGTTAAAGAAACAATAGATCATAACTACAGTAATTATTGGTAGGATAATATATTTCATCTTGCACTCATAAAAGTATTCAGTGTGTTTTCATACAATTATCATAGAAAGTTACATTTTAACATGGAAATGAGGTGCTGTGTAGTTCTACTTATGAATTTTTGTTTAATCTAAATGCACGACATTATGGATGACCATGTTTAATTTCAATATAATTATTTCAAACTATTTACAAAGAATATTTTAGAAATTGTTTTACTCAACATTAAATCTGCACCTGCATCGTGTGTCCTCAGAGAACAAAAAACTGTTTCAATACCAGTTTTATTAGGTCTCGAAATTTCGATCATTCTGGTCACATATGCACCCGAAATTGTATCTTTGCGACCTCAAAATATATTTTGGAGCGTTTGTGCGAGTGCATTAAATTGTTGCCGTGCAACTGTTTTTCACTGCAAAATGTTAACTGCATGCACAGATTTAGGATACAATGCATTCCACCACGTAAAATGTAAAGCGCTGAAGATGAGAGAATGAAAATCACTCTGACAGATTTTGTTTTAGAAACCACCTAAAGGTACAAATAATAGCACATTTGATTAGACATACACTTTTCGAAGAGTGGATAAGACTACTAAAGCCACTCACTGTAAAATCTGTGTGACAGAGTTTTCAGGTAACAGTTTTTGCTACTGAATCTACACATTTTAAGCGTGGGGTGTTCTGCTTAATTCCTAATTTTTTTTTCAGGATGACTTTATATGCAATACACCTGTTAATATTAAATTTGTAGTAACATAATTCTTGATGGGTGCGACTAAATGTTGGCTGGTGCAACTACATTTTTAAAGTTAGGAGCACCAGTGCTTCCAAGCAAAAAAGTTAATTTGAAGCCCCGTTTATAAATATTTATCATCATAAATACTCCCAGATCTGTGAATTGCTCATCCTCTCAGCACGAGTTGTTCATGTTTTAACAAGAAATGTGTGGTTTAAAATAATTAACTGATTTCTTTAATCTGCAATTAAACTAAAAAAAGAAATGTGACATTTATAAAGACAATGATGAATATGAACTGATGAGAACTGTGAAATATATATAAAAAACACACAGAACTTACCGATTCAGGCACAGGAACTTCTAACTGTGTTCCTGAAGGAGCTCTAATTGCAAGAAGAGTGTCACCTAGTGGCAAAAAATACAGAAGACTTTCTTCATTCTTTCATTAGAAAACATTAATATATTAAGCATTATTAGGGGCAATATTTCTCGTTCAGGAAACATTGCAGCTTTTTTAAGTGTCTAAATGGAAAAACCAACCTTTGAAGCAATTGCAGAGATCTTGATGTGTTACATATGCCAGAGTGAGTCAAGTTAAGGACATACAGTGAATGTAACCTACTATAAATAAAAAGAATCTTCACTAATAAAGGCATTTTAATGTATTGAAAGAGCTTAAAAGGAAAAAGAATATATAAAAGTTAAACATTTGCTGTGTAAATTTACTATCCCTCAGGCCATCTAAGATACAGACGACTATTTACTTAAGTAGAACAAGATTATTCACTTAAAATGTTGTCCTTGGTAATTAATAAAATGTAAATCAACAGCTACTGGCACTTTGGCAGTTACAGGCAACATACACAGGCATAACGAAATTAATATCCGGGGCACCTGATAAAAAACTATGGTCTTATGAATTGAAATGATAACACTATTCATGCCACTTTTACTTTAAATCCACAGCCTTAGTAACAGTTTGCTCATTAGGGGTGTAACAGCTCAATTTACTCACGGTCCAGTATGCATCACTGTTTTAGAGTCACAATTTCAGTAAGGTACAGTCTGTGCTATGCTCAGGAAAAACATGCCTACAGAACAATTCAAAGAACAATAAACACATTTATTTGTTAACAAACACCTGACAATGCAACAGCTTCACACACATGACTGTGGATTTGCATGTTCTTGCATTAATTAAAGTAGGGCATTTTGAAAATTGTAAGGAAATTGCTTAAGAAAATAAGTTTAGATTTCCCCTTTTTCTGTTTTACATTTTTACTCAACAGTCTCAACCAACTATGCAGATAATAATTATGTCAACACATCTTAATAATTGAGCACTTTTAAAGTATTGATTACTTCTGTTTACATTATGCTTGCATTACCGAGGCAACAGCGCATCGTTATTTATGATTTTATTATGATTCCAGAGAGCTCTGTTTCACTTAGCACCATCGTAGTGAAAGAAACTTATGCCGACTTTAGCTTGATTTTGACTTGCCGACAAATGCCTGAAATCAGAGGCAAAATGGTGCTAGTTCATGCAAGGGACAATCACACAACATGAACTATCCAAAATGAATCTGAGAGAATCGCTGCTGAGTCACCGATGCCCGTAGCGATTCAAATCATGCCATGTGATACGAGTTTAGACTGAAAATACATCAGCGATCACATACAGCTAATGAGAGAGCAGCATTCACTAATGTGGGTACCTGCAGGCCAGCGAGAGGATAGGGGAGAAGTAAAAAGCACTCATTTTCAGTTTATTTGGACTCAAGAAATGGAGGAAAAACTAGTGGAAAGTTGGCAGGAGCACCCGTGTCTGACGTGTCATCTGAACAATATCACAATCAGGTCAAAAAAGAAAAAAAGTTGACGAGAAATTGCTAATTACCTTCAAACCCAAGTCAGCCAATATGTACATTTTCTACCCCATTAAAGGCTTCTTTCTGGTTATGTAGTTAATAAATAAAGATATACAGCGTGTTTTTGATTGTGAGATGTAGTCTGGACAAAGTTGTCTGCGATTCTTCCTATCGTAAAGTCATACAGTGTGAAACCCCCTGTCGCCGTTCCATCTTGCAGTGTAAACAAAGCAGCGGCAAAATGCTAGCCCAGATAGTCATGCAGTGTGAAAACATCCGTGACACGACTACTTTGAAAATCATGCAGTCTGAATTCCGCATTAAGCAAAGGAAGAGTGTTCGGCTCTTCTCTCTTATTTCAACGGAAACGGTACATAGAGAAGAAAACTGTTCTTAGAAGGCAGCGGGTAAACAGAGTAGAGGGAGTGATCAGGTGTGGAAGAACACCCAGAAGGAGTGGGTATGAAGTAACAGACCTGTGGTATGTCCATGTCCGAAAAGGATGCTTCTGAGTCTGGACACAGACCTCGATCCGCCTGTTGGTGACCACTGATCTAGGCTATCTTTGCAACAACAACAAAAAATGGCAATCGTTATGGTTTTGTGTCTGTCTGAATTTATATTGAGTGTCTGATTAAACGCTGACAGCAGCGCGCTGTGATTTGGTCTCACCTGTGCATTTGCAATGTTGCCAACTTAGTAATTTTGTTGCTAGATTTTGCAACTTTTTTTTATACTACCCTAGCAACTTTTTTTCAATAAGCACCTAGCAACAAATTTAGCAATTTTTAACAATCATTTGGCTACTTTTAGCAATTTTAAAAAGTGACTCAAAAGAGCAGTGGCTGCAGGCTTCACTCAGCTGCTAGCTGCTCAACTGTTAATTTACTGATATTTGTTAACATGTAAAATTGTTGGTAATTTATTTAGCAATAAATTTCAATAGTGCTACAATTGTCTTCACTTTCACAAATGTGTTAATTTCACAAGTTAAAAAAGTACACAAGCTGTGATTGTTTAAAAGAATGTAACTGTTCATTATCAGTGTTTTATTTAAAAATAAAACTAAATTATCAAAAAGTGTTTGTAATACTTTTACAAATAGTCAACTCTATTTTTCATACAAATCTAAATGGACATATTTCAAATAATGTTTTTGCTGAGATGGCCAGTCAATTTGAGAAAACGTTCATAATTTTGCATATTGCATAAAGATGTAGTTTTGAGATGTGGTTACGCAATGTCATCACGCAAAGTAATTTGTTAATAAGAACCTATGTACTGTGCATTTGAATGTATTGTTTTAACAATCTAATACACAGTGCCTTAGAGAATAGATACATGACAGGCTTACGTTTGTCAGATACTATGTGATGATGTCACTGATATGCAAATTAGTGTGTGACGTTATTTGGCAACATTTAGCTATTTTTAGGGCAGGCTTTATCTACTTTTCATTGAAAATAGTTGGCAACACTGCGCATTTGTGCTTTATCTCCTTCACTTGCCAAGCTGAAACGCACAGAAACTCCACATGCACACGCCGACATGTGAGGAAACGTGATGTCAACAACACATTTACATACTAAGAGGTGATTGGACAGGTCTTTGCACGTGCAATGGATGGGAAAGGTAATTGGAAGAGTACAAAGGTGGAACATTGCTTTTTTTCAGTTGTTTCTATTGACAAACCAGTATAAAAATGCATATTCTGAACAGCGGATCACAGGACACACTTAACCTTAGAAGAACAACAGGTCGATACTTTTGTTCACTGTTGCATCCCTATTGCTCATCCATAGTAACATACATTAATATTGTTTTGCCTGTGTATGTTTTTTTTTTTTGACCCAAAGTTAAAATGCATTTTACAAATCACCATAGTTTCAGCTAAAAATAATCTTTAATGTTCCACTGAAGAGATCAAACGTCACAGTCATCTTGGGCACACCATAAGCGTGATTAAATTAACACTTAATTATTTTTTTTAGGTGAACTGTTCCTTTAAACACGGCACAGTGAGAACACCACTCAGAAAACAAAAAAACGATTGAGGCATCTAGAAGGATATGGGCTGTTTAGCGAGTCGTCGGTCACATTCTTGATGCTCTGCTGAACCCAAACTCTCTGCTGGTCCAGTTCATGCTCCCTTCTGTCCAGATCCTCCAGTTCCAACTTGAGATCTATCAGCTTGTCTGCAATCTCGCGCGTGTTGCAACCCGGACCAACACCCCTACAAACATACAAAAATAGAAACAGACATTTAGATCAGATGAATTAGTTGACATTGAAGCAGACGTGTTTCTAAAACATAAATAGCAAGAGCAATTAGAAGTACTTTTGTGGCGGTCTACTAAAATAAACCTTTAATCATTTAACTGGCCAATTTTTATGTAATATTTCAAATAATAATAATAATAATAATATAAACATTGCTGCCATTCAAATTTGAAATGATTTTAAGACTGCATTTATCAGATCAAAAATACAGTAAAATAGACAAGTTCGTAGATAAACTTCATGGTGGCTTGACAAAGTCTCGTCTGAAAGTTTGAATTAGCTTTAAAGTTTAAATCATTGGTTTATATATTTATTTCACAAATATTATAGCTACAGCTAAAAAATTTTAAACACTTTATTTGCATTCAATATGCTTTCTATTAGGGCTGGGCCTAAAACAATATTATATTGAATCACAATAAAATTCATGTCAATAACGATGATAAGCTCTGGATTTTTACTCAACATTTATCCTAATCACCAAGGATCAGCCAATCACACAGTGGATATATGCAACAACAGAAATCTATAATTTTGTTGGATTCACCGAAGTTTTGGTCGCCGAAAATTATCGGCTGGAAATAGGTCCTGCTGAGTCACCCAGTATTGTTTAGCACTCTCGTTTCACTTTCCCACCAGCAGTTCACTTTCCTGCCTGCAGTATCCGTCTTCAGTCATTTTTAGGATACTCTTTTTAAAAGTGGAAGCATTAACAACTTGTTTTAATATAGTTATCGTTTAATGTAGAATTTAAATATCGTGACAGCATTTTTGCCATATCATCCAGCTCTACTTTCTATTAAAACAACGTCACTTTTGTGAATTGAATGCGAAACCAAACAGCACATTTTTTAACAATGATAAAATCTCCGTAGCTATGCAATAATAAGCAGACATGTTTGAATAAAAACCACTGACCATATCAAAATAAATCTTAAAAAGCAGCATATTTTTGCATAATTAACATTAAAATTACACAACAGAAAAAAAAGACAGCTCAGGTTCTTTGAAATTGGAAGTAGGCCTGCACAATAAATCGTTTCAGCATCGATATAGCAATGTGTGTATCCACAATAATCATTATTTTGCTTACCACACTGGCAGATTAATTAGCTTGTTTAAAGGAAAATCTCACTTAATTTTGACTTATTATTTCTGAAAGTGAAAATAAATCTATGTTTTTAGATATGTGGACTAGAAACAAGGCAACCCCAAGTAATTTACATTGTGATTACCGAATTTCAGTACCTAAACACTTATTAGACTATAAAAAAGTCAAGTAGAGAATTCAAACCATCTGGTAAAACTGTATTTATATTGCAATATTTATCACAAAAATATATTTTCTAATATTTCAATACAATGTTATGGGGCCCCAACTTTTTTACCTTTGAGCACAAAATATTTTATTTTGAGAAAAATGTATAATATTTTCTAGCAGTAAACATGCCAGACTACATAATTAACCTAATTAACCACAGTTAACCTTAAAAACTTTTATTGTCTCATGTTTGTTAGGAGCCTACTAAAATATATAAATATATTGATGCAAAAAGCTAATAGAGGAGTGACCAACAAATATAGGAGTCAGTATATTGTCACCTTGGAATTATAAGGTTCTATCTACGCGTTTTTATTTTTATTAAAAGTATTAAAATGTAAACAACAACAAAAATATCCCATAATGTAAATAAGTTGTCATTTAATAAGAATATGTCAATAACTTAATTTTGACAAAAATGGCAGATAGAACCTTATAGTTCTAAGGTGACGATATGTCCACATGAAAGCTTCTGCATCTTACTTCCACTGGATGCTGTTTTTGGATTTCTTCTCGATGAGTCCAATCCCTTCCAAAACATTGGTGATGTCATAGATGCGCCGTTTCTGCCTTACAGCCAAAGTATCTGCAGCCTAAAACCACATCCAACAGAACAGATGATTAAATATAAAGTTTTTATTGCATATTGAAAATGTTTTATATACGCAATCCTAAACACAACAGTTGACTTAAAAACACTTGATCATTTACAAATGTTCATGCGACTTTTTAAATGTTAGTCATATTGTGAAAGACTTGTCTGGTCACCATTCACTAGAAGTGCATCTTAACTCAGTGTAAAGAAAGTGAATGGTGACCGAGGCTGTCATTCAGCCTAACATCTCTTTTAGTGGTCCCACTAAAAACTAATGTTCGGAACAAATATGAGAGTGAAAATATAGACAAAATGCTAATTTCTTTAAAATGTACCGTAACTAATCTAAGAGATAAAAAAATCAGATTTGACAAGCAACCGAACTAGATGCGGTCCACTTCGAGTAGCGCCTGCGCAAATCTAAACTCCAAACAACATAGGACATTTCAAAACAACATATTTGCATTATAATATATTTATACATACAAAAACCAGGTTTAAACTCTAAAGCATGCTTTGCAACTCCACCATTTGCATAGGCCTAAATTTCCCAAAACTCCAGAGCACGTGCTTGTTTTGAAGGCTTTTGTTTGAGTTTTCAGCCCGGATGGAAACTACTTTTCCACCGCAAATAAACTCCGGCGTACAACAACAAACACCGGAGCGGATTATAGAACTGCCGACTGCAGTGACATTACATTTGCAACTTGTTAGCTGACTAGTCTAATTTAGTAAATGAGCTAGTGTATTGTCGTGGGAGTTGAGTGAGGGGATGTGCGTGCACGCGACCCCCTCCTCCCTTAGCAAAGCAACTTTCAGGCAACTTTTACAAGATCTGCAGTTTATCTGTATTCATGCACATTTTAAAAGATAAACGCGGTGCATGCGCTGTGTGTCTCGCGAGCGCGTGTGTGATATTGTACAGATGTATAGGTGATGGTGATGGTGATGAGCTGATGTCGTGCTTACAGCTTTCAGATCCAGCACTCCGTCCTTCGCTTCCTGCAGTAGAGTCACAAATTTGGTGGTGAGCAGTCCGAGACTTTTCTCGTGGCGACTGGGGGTCTGCGGCTGCAGCGACTCTCCCATCGCTCCCAGGTCGTTTCTTCCGGTTTCTAAATCCATCAGGATGATGTTGAAGTATTAATAAATCCCCGCAGTTGTGTTTATGGTTGCATAAATAACGCTTTCTGCTTGCTATATCGCTGACAGCACCGCTCCTGCCGCGTAAACGCTCGCTTCCCGTCAACGACCGGCGATTTGCGAACCATGGACGGGAAAGTTGTCCACAAAATGACAGAGCTGCGACCGCTGTTCGGGGTCTGGTCCGGTTTGGGACACGGATCACCCCAACCCAGATGGCCTAACAGAACAGGAGGTCTTACGAGCACCAGCGCTGAGCTGCTTGAATGACTGAAGCCGTTGAAGGCGCAGTGCATCATGGGATGACCTGATAAAAAAATTGGAGGGTTCCTGCATTGCGTAAAGCGGCCTGAGGGGGGCGATAAAAGCGGCGTCGTTGAACTGAAACGACCATGTGGGGGCTACAGACACCGGTTTTTCTCTTTGTCGTGTGCTAAATTGAAAAATGCAAAGTTTTCTATTCACAGATGTTGTCGTATTTGAATAATTGACCCTTAATATAATTAAAACAATATATTTGCTGTTTTTTGTTGCATTTTACATCAATTTTTATTTTGCCTGATTGTTTTATCACTAAATGGACGGACGGACGGACAAACGGACGGACAGATAGATAGATAGATAGATAGATAGATAGATAGATAGATAGATAGATAGATAGATAGATAGATAGATAGATAGATAGATAGATAGATAGATAGATAGATAGATAGATAGATAGATAGATAGATAGACAGACAGTTAAATGCAAAGATGATAGATAGATAGATAGATAGATAGATAGATAGATAGATAGATAGATAGATAGATAGATAGATAGATAGATAGATAGATAGATAGACAGATAGACAGACAGTTGAATGCAAAGACAGATAGATAGATAGATAGATAGATAGATAGATAGATAGATAGATAGATAGATAGATAGATAGATAGATAGATAGATAGATAGATAGATAGATAGACAGACAGTTGAATGCAAAGACAGATAGATAGATAGATAGATAGATAGATAGATAGATAGATAGATAGATAGATAGATAGATAGATAGATAGATAGATAGATAGATAGATAGACAGATAGACAGACAGACAGTTGAATGCAAAGACAGATAGATAGATAGATAGATAGATAGATAGATAGATAGATAGATAGATAGATGGATAGATAGATAGATAGAT